AGATGCATCTAACTGTTTTCTACGACTCACCTCGTGCGAGGTACGTTAGTAAGCTATATCTGAGAAAAATACGTATTCTGAGAATGAATTTCTGAAGTGACAGGTATCCGAAATCCGCCTCAGCAGTGTAACCAATTTCGCGCTATCCAGAATGGCAAATACGGGCGACCAAAACCAAGTCGTTCAGTATTTGCTTCCCTTCCACTTCATTAGACGAGATGAACACTGCTTCTTTTGAATGGTGAAATGAAATCAATTGGTAAACTAGATAAATAGATTAGCTTTCTCCGCTTGCTGTAATACTTCTGGACCACCACTGAGATCAGCCTAGAGCCAAGTGGACGAGTACGCGATTTCAATCTGTTGGTTATTTCTATATATGCTCTACTTTCTTCAAGAGATATCAGCTTCAGTTTAGATCGAGCCATCATCATCCAAACGTTAGAAAATTGTGACTAATCCACCCGCACCATCCTCCATGTTGGCTGTGTGCAACGTTTCTCAGCCGCGATCGAATTCAGCCAACGTCTTGATTCGTTATGATCGATCTTTTTGCCCTGGGATTGTCTTACTGAAAACATTTCCGTTGATTATGCAATAAACTGAGCTTATTTTCACATCAAAGCACTGGCACAAGTCAGGATCTTAGTTGTCGGATTTATGAGCCTCCCGAATTAGTTACCACTCGCCTTCAGCTATATGCTACATTTCTCGGACTTTTGGTCCGGTTGCAGCTTGGTGACACTACAAAACACTTTTTCAATGAGCCACACACCAGCAAAACTTTTGATAGTCAATTTTGTTTCTTAGAATATATTTTAGTCCATTCAGGCTGAGGCATTTTATGTGAGTAGCCACCTATAGAAACTAGAAAATGTTGATCGATCGATTTATCTATTCTGCACTGAATGAAAAAAGATAAGCCATTTGGGATGAGTGTATTGACCAGAATAAACGCCCTCAGGAAACAGCAACCATTTATCAGAAAGAATGAACTTGCATACTGCTTCGCATAACATGGTTTTCCACTCTGATTTGTGACTTTATAACTACTGCAAATTTTATTTCGAAACTCAAGGTCGTGCAACTTCAAACGATGATACGGGAGAACTAAGAACATTGAATTGGGAGATTAAAGTCAGAATCAGTGCTCTTCACCTATATCTATGGGTGTATATGTATGATATTGGCAACTGTACTGTATTTTTAAAATGGGAGTCAATTTGCACGAGTTCAGTCAATGCCTGTAAATATGTAAAATGATCTGCTCCACACTGTTTCAATGAATAGAATTCGAGCTTGAAATAGAGGCATCCCAGCATATCTCGCAAACTGCCTAAAACCCTCGGGGCATTGACCAGTGCGATTTACGGTTTAACCTCACTTGGTCAAGGTTGGTGCATTATAAACAACAGTTTTGAATTTTCCAGCATGTGTGATATCAAATCTAAGCTAGGTAATTTGGAAGCTTGTCCGAATATATTTGTTTACATGATCCTATGGCTCGCGGCCGACCGCTGTTCCGACAGAGACATGTGAGTATGTGACAGTCTGACATTTTCCCAGATAGTAAGTTTTGAATAGGAAGAAACTCATATTTGGAACACGTGCTAAATGTACTTTTCTCTGGCTCGATTCGATATGTAAGTCAAATTAAAGAGGATATAGAACCATGGTAAGTTCAAATGTTGCGAGGTCAACATTTACAGACCAGTAACCATCAGAGTGGGATTTAATCATGATTGGGTATAAAATTTTATCACGTTTTCTCAAAGAACTAACTGTATATTGTACGTACTGTTGCGTCGTTTTAGATTAATGTCGTTCTATGCTGAAAGCTATTCGATGTTCTGATAACGGTCGCGTCACCTTCTGAAAACATCTATTAATCTATGAAAACTTATATCCACCGCAATTCATTTTACTCAACCCGGAAATTCGATCAATAATTGTATTGAGGTGCAAACAACTGAGCTCTGTGTAACAATGAGCTATATAACTCCTTAATTTGATTTCAAGTGAACGATTAGAGGCTAAATGAGAACAATTTGAAGCAGTTTTTATCGTTATTCATTTGAAAAGAGAAGCCAAAAGCATAACATTACATGATTCATATCCAGGACGGTTTCAGTACAGTGATGTCGGTCTTTACTGCAGAAAGTTACGCTTTTCTATATGATCACAAAAACAGTGCAAGGGACAGGATAAGTTGAGTGTAGCACACAGCTCCGCTTATTTGACACAAACATTGGTTGCTATAGCCCCATCCTACTTGACCAGTCTAGCTTTATTCATCCCCTATATGATCCAGAAAGCCTTTTATCGACTGACAGTGTTTCGTCATCAGAAAATGTCTGGCTACCGCCAATATGTATCAACGAATCCTATCGGCATGTCACCCAGATAGAAACAAACCAGGCAAACTTCATTGGAGCATGATTTGCAATGATCTCACCTTTCGGTTACGTAACAGCTTTTCTGTTCACCACACCTGATGGATTGGGGTGTATCTAGTTCGGCAGACGAATTTCAGTTTTGTTGTGTGATATATCCGAGCAACTTCAGAACTTGGAACTTGTTCGAACATGTGAGTTACTGCATCAGCATTGAGTGAAAGGCAACCCATAATCTTCAACTTCGAAAATGAAGTAATACCTGATTTTTCGCCCACTGTCCTGCTATGCTTGTCAATGGACTCATCAGGGTAACTGTTTTGCATGAAAATACTGCAGAACCACGCGAATCCGTCTATTATTGCAATTGCGGTGCACAGGCACCCTAATTGGATTGCAAAACTACCCGCAAACAGTTCATCCTTGGGAGCCCGGCATGTCAAAATTAAATGTATCAAATATATTCCTGTTGTTGCCCGTTCTATCCACTGAAAAACTATTTCATTGGATGGAGTTGTGGAATTTCGCACAAAACTTCGAGCAGTTCATGATATCAACCACGAAACCCTTCCTATTTTCACTTCTCTCCTACCGGGCTGCGCGATAAATTCACCATAAATTGTCCCAATTGCTACTTCATAGGATAGAAGCATTTATCGTTGCATACTTATATCAAATGACATCCAATGGGTTGACAGAACTAGACCTGATTAGTAAACTAGAGCTTAGTTTGAAACCTATAGTGAATGAATGAGATGCTTAAGTTTTTGTTTTCTAAGCCCTGTCGATGACAGTCACTTCCGGAATGGCGGCGGAGCAGCATATAATCCTGACTGCATTATTTAATAAATTGTTTGTATCTACTACTTGCATGTCAGTAGTCCTGATTTTTCATTAGGAATTTAACCCCAATCCTATTATTCCTTATGCTAGCGACATAATTAATCATGCCTCACCGTTTAACTAAATTAACAGTCTGCGGAACGCAGTACTTACCCAAGTTTGCAACAACTGTGCCATTTCAAGTTTCCATCACTTGGGTATTTTATCCAAACAGCTTTCTTTGTGAATTATCACAATCAGCACTCATTGCCAGCGTAAATTTGAATCACCGATATTTGACCAAACTGTGACCTAGTTAGGTTCCAGGTCAGACATTACGTTTGACATGAAACCTCGGCAACAAATAATTTGGGAGATGTCGGACGATAAGGGTAATCGGATTCAATGTTTCTAGTTGTTGTCAAAGTTCAAGTTCATCTTTATGTTGAAATATTTGGTAGTTGAGTGATCCCTTTGGATCCACACATGTTTGACTACTCGAAGTTCAAAGAACTTGAATGCTGATTGTCAGGAAGGAGCAGCAGTTCCTCGTGGCTATGCGATAGCCCCTTTTTGCCTCTAACACCGGGTGATGTGTAAGGAAAACAGCAATAAGAACAACTAAATGACTTTGCTGTAACCACACATAAAGCACCATTTTGCAGAAAAATAACTGTGTACTGATGAATCTTTTGAAGCACAAACGTCATCAGGCTCAATGGTATATTCAGTTCGTTCATCTTTGTAATGACGAAGTACACAAAATCCGGTTTCTAACTGAATACGAAAGACAATTTGTGATCAAACCAAGCGGTCAGTGTACCCAATCTACTATCAACTCGGTATGCACTGTTTGAAAAATGAACGAGAAGGATTATTTAGAAATATTTTCAAATTCCAGATGTAAGTTGTATAAGGGCAGTATATGAACCAGAGTTGTGTAATTCCTTGTAATACGGTCCATAATCGAATGATGTTTGCAGGACGGGGGGAAAGAGAAGGAATCTGTTATACAAGCAAAAAGTTGACAAAATATTGAAAATGGGTTCTCGTAGCTCGGGTGAACTGAATTCCATTTCGCCTGTTCGCCGAGCTTGGCAATTCGTTTGAAAACGTTTTATCACCAGCCGAGGTGACATCATCAGTGCTTGTGAAGTAGCCAAACGAATTGCCAAGCTCGGCGAACAGGCGAAATGGAACAAACAAAAAGTGGCATTTCCTAGGGCTTTGAACTGTCCAACCCGTGTCATGAGACTTCATCAATCAGGGGCCATAATCGTGTAATGGAGCACAGAACAGTCGACCAAGTTTGTTCGGTTCATGCAATATTTCATCTTCATGAGGTCACCTAAAACTATTTGGAGCCTTCATTAGAGTGAAAGTTTGAAAACTAATCGTAAATCATAGCTACATTAAGTCTTAGTATCTCATAATCCACAATTCATATGGTGTTATCGCAAAACATTTTGTCCCGATTTGGTGACCTTAAAAAGATCAAAAGGTATCCTGAACATTTGCCGTATGTTTTGTTCGTGGGTCAACTTTTATAAGACATTTTTAAGATTGTATTGAGCAACTGCAGATTTTGGTCAAATTATTATAATGTTCACAAAATTCCTGTTGAAGTACTTTCAAAAACATGAATAGGTAGTCAGAAAAACCTATTGTCGTCAACTTACTATTATGAGAGCAGAACTTAATTCCTCTATTAATTACCATGAAATTCAGTTTTTACTGCTGGTATGCTAATTGGTTTCGAGAGCAAAATGCAAAAAACCTCTTACATTAATTCCATATTTGAAGATGGGATTGGTATAACAGTAGACTGGACTCGGCAAAGAACACCCAATACTCAGACGACTCTTTCCTGAGAATTGTGAAGTAAATTGTTCTAATCATTAAACTTACAAATCTTGGGTAATATATATAGCGAAATGTGGATCCTGGTGGCGAGTATACAACAGCAACATTTACTTTCCCCTAAAGACTGCATATTACGCTGTCATTGAGAAAAAATAAGTGATTTATTCGTTGGTTTTGTTCTTCTGATATGACATTTGAACCTCAAAATCAAAACCTATTGCTAAGATTCCCCAGAAAACTGACTGCTCATGACGCGAGACTTCAGAGGTTTCTTATTAAATGCAACAACTGGCATGTATCTGTCAGTACAGTGACGAACCTCACCGTGGAGTTTAGATACAAACAACTTGTTTTAGGTTTCGCATAGAAATAACTGTATTAATTCTGAGTAACACTTGCCAGTAAACGGTATCAAAAGTGCTGTTAATGAAACGTAAAACTCCAGAAAAAGACTGAGCTCATCTGAACAGATAAGAGCAGCGAATGTAAGAGACCGCAAACACCCGCAACTAACGGTGAAGCGCTTGGCATTACAATAAACATTAATTACTTAAGCAACACGAATTCGTCTAAACGCACTTTCTCATGGAAACTGTTTGATGATTCAGTAAGGACTCTAAATGAGCTAGTGTCCATTCGTCTATAAAATCAGTCCGTCCTAATGGTCGGGAAAAAGTGAAGAAATGAGGTAATGTATGAAGTTGGAAATTCAGTGCAGAAAAGATTCTGTTATTTCGCACACACCTCTCTATCCATCATCAGCGTCATGCAATTGCGGTGACTAGTCTGCTCTGTCTATATTACCACGGATCTGATAATGTCAATATCCTCAGGACTGTCATAGTCAGATAAGAAAGGATTATGAATTCTGTATGTCCCTTGTCCCACTTATGTGAAATGCCATATTGCACTGGCTCCACCTCGTGTTGATTCATTTTTGGGGCTTATGTTGCATGCAAACCAGATTTCTCATCGGGATACATTATCAATAATGCGCATGGAACGCTCTCAATAGACACTGAAGCAATGATATTGTGACATTCGTTTACGACCAAAGCGTTCTAATTTGACTCATTGCTTGTCAGTCAATGGGGTAGAACCTCGTTTTACTTAGATTTTATAGAATAGAACCTCAATTGAGACATTTTGTCGGATGTGCAATGCAAATTTTATCGGAAGAAAAAATTAAATTAGCTTTAAAGTGCACTCTCGATATTCATTTCCAATTCTCTTTGTTCTGTTTGCAAAACCTTGTTCTAACAAAGGAGTGAAATAAATTCCAGTAACTCGATAGCAACACATGAATCATAGTTATTTCAAATTACTCACCGTGTGATTAATACACCGGACTTTGGATCAATCCAAAACGCATGCGCGTCATTTTCATTCTTCAATCCGAACACCAGCTTGTTCGAACTGCCCAAATCCAGACTGGCACTTCGGCTGACATTCTGTCCCATGGTCATGTGTGACGCATCCAATACCTCTGTGGCAGCAGGCATCGTATCTGGATCGTATGCTTCTATTTGTCCCACTCGTGTCCCCGGTAGTTGATTTTCTCCGATCGAGAATACGTAACCCCCTGTGGAGCTGACTTGAGGTGAAACTAGGGGTGGATTATCATTGACGTCAGCCACAGTTACGTGAACCACACAAGATCCCGTACGAGCTGGTTCCCCCTGGTCCACTGCCATGACAGAGAATCGGTGGCT